TGAGTAAAACACGAGTGCACGCGTCTCCGAGGTATAAAGACAAGGAATATGAACTCAAGAAAGAACTCACCTGATAATTTAGTTGACGTGCACGAGCGCGGGTAATAGAACCATCATGCTGTATATGGGGGGACGTGGATGTATCGATGGTGTTGATGTCCTCATCACTTGGAGTCCGTGCTACAGCTGGCTACAAATCTGTAGCCCGCTGCCCTTCTCTCTCCTTATTTATCTCTTTAAAATATGTTTGCAGCTGGCTTATAGCCTACTATTGTACCTGCTCTAAGATCCTGTTGACATGCGCTTCGACCGACACACCGCAACGGGCAATTGCGGCGGCTCGATCGACTACGATCCTGACAGCGGCAACATCAGGAGCTAGCCACCAGGTATGGCAGCGGCAACCACGTAAGCCCTGCCTCATCGTAACATGTGCCTTAGAAAGTAAAATATAAGGGATTTTGGTTGAATAGGATATATCGTATTATGAATCTGCCCAATAAAAATGCTTTATATGTTAGGACGCGGAGTAATAAGTTTTGAGATAGTACAAATTAAACCGAAAAACTAAACACTAGGTAGTATTTGTTGGGCCGAGTGCACATAGTACAGAAAGTAACGGACCATCCCAACACACGATTTACCAACTCATGCCCTGGAGTCCAACCCAAATCAGCTGTAATGAAATATGTGACTGCCCAAGCAAAGCCAAGAAATCTCTGAGCTAATTAACACCCAGCACAAACCGTGGTGTCTGTGTCTCCGAATGAAAATTCAGCCTAATCCATCGGTTGAACGAATTTCACCCCGCAATCCGCAACACGCCCGACAGCCCACATCATCACGTGCTTGCAGCCCATTATCCGTTGCATATACACGCTTCTTTGCTGTGAATCACACGATTTCCGGACATTATATTGTGGGCTAATTGGCATGCTCACTGCAAAATCCATCCACGTACGCCGTCACGTCACGTTAGTCTAGGGGTGGAAACGACGCTGGTATGGGATAGAATACGTTATCTGTCACTACCCTTATCTAGTTCCGAATTCAAAGAAAAATACGTATTAAGATACGAGAATGCCATGATTTGACCGTACCTATCTATTTTCACCGAACATCCGTATGTCTACTACGCAAAGCTCCCGTCTCCCAGTGCCGACGATGGTATGAATGCTGGTGATGTCCGGGCCGCTCAAGCACTACACAGTACTCAATTCGTCCCATTTAAAAATACAAGAATAGTGTTCAGATTTATAGTATTAGTACGTGGCATGTGCTATATTCTATATTATGTTTATTTTTTTACATGACAGGGGGAGTATATGCATGCGGTATGTGAGGTGGCGTGGCATTATATGTTCCAAAAAGTAGTTGCCGATCCGGTAGACGAGCGTTGAGCGCGGATGTGATCGAATCCATAAACTAAGCCCACGCTAGTAGAGAACCCATCTTTACCCACGGTTCGTAACTCCTTTTAATCCTGGGAACGTAACCGGGACAACCAATCAGGAACTAAAGATATCCATCTTTAGTCTCAGTTAAAATAACTGTATTTTTAGTCCCGGAACGAAGAGTTTTTTTCTTTTCTTTCGTTCGTTGTTTTTTTAGTCATATTGATTTCGCGCCAAACACTAATAGATCAAATAAACATTCACAGGCCAAACTCACACAACAAAATTAATCATACACAAATTCGCGAAAACATCACAAAACTAATCATCCACATATTCAAAAAAACATCTCTAATAAATTACAATATGACCACACATTTACATAAAAAAACAAATCTCAGCACCGCCGCGTGGGCCGCTGCCACCCCGCCGTGCCTCGGCCAAAAGTGGAGAGAGAGGGGAAGGCCGAGGAGGAGTGGAGGAGGAGTACTCCGTTGAGGCCGCCGCTTCTCCTCTCGGATCTGGCAGAGGGGAGGCCGCCGCCGCAGCCCGGCCGCTTGCCGGCCACCTAGCTAGTTCCACCGCTGCCCGCCCACCACCTGCTTGTGTGCCGCAGCCCGCCGGCTTGCTCGCCCCGCCGCCATCTCCTCCCCTCCCAACGCCGACCACCGCTTCCCCTCCCCTCCCACCGCCGGCCGCCACTGCTGAGAGAGAGAGAGAGAGAGCGCAAGAAAGGAGATCAGATTGAGCGAGATTTTTGCTAAGTGTCAGTTGGTAGCACCAACCGGGACTAAAGATAATGGGGGGCCTAACGCTTTAAACCGGCACTAAAAATTATCTTTAGTTTCGGTTGGTGTCACTAACCGGAAGTAAAGATAAAAAAGTAGTGCTTTCTAATTTGAATCAGGATTATAAATATTTTTAGTCCCAGTTCCTATTTGAATCGGGGCTAATGTGGTTTTCAGTCTACCTAGCAAAGATAGTTTCTTTCACTAGTGCCATTTTGGGTTTGGTTGCTCAGCTGATATATATGAAGCCATGTAAGGCCCCGTTTAGTTCACAAATTTTTTTTGCCAAAAACATCACATCGAATCTTTAGACACATGCAGGGAGCATTAAATACAGATAAAAACAAAAACTAATTGCACAGTTAGGGAGGAAATCACGAGACGAATCTTTTAAGCCTAATTAGTCTATGATTAGCCATAAGTGCTACAGTAACCCACATGTGCTAATGACGGATTAATTAGGCTCAAAAGATTCGTCTCGCGGTTTCCAGGCGAGTTATGAAATTATTTTTCTCATTCGTGTTCGAAAACCTTCCGACATCTGGTCAAACGTCCGATGTGACACCCAAAAGTTTTCTTTTCCCCAACTAAACAGCCCTTAAGTAGACCATAAACTGCACATTCGCTTTAACAGAAAGAAAAGCCTTTTCCATCGAGTGCATGCATGGTAGCCCGTAATCTTCAAGAGCATTTGAGTTTTGACATAAGTATACGTACGAGTTCCGACGGAAGAAATAACATATAGTAATTGTTGTCGAATCGACGACTACGTCACATCGAAAGACATGGTTTTTTCAACAGTGGTTGGTAAGTAAGAGCAATTATATTGCTTAGTGAACATTTTTTTATATCCCCCTGTTAAATGGCTCTAGAGGGCTATTTATAACCCTATCATAGGCTCCCCTTAAGATTTAAGTTTTACAGGGGAATTTACATGGTTACCCTCATAATAGGGATATCATTAGGGCTACATATTGTCCTTTACATGTATGGGCCCCTAATGGGCCGAGTGGCACGGCCTAATTGTTGGCGAATCCTTTGGAAGGTCCAACAGCCCACTGGGCCCTCTCCAATGGGGTTCGGTACTTGGCGAAACCCGTGCCTTCGCCCCAAGGCTTTCGCCCCACCGTCTCCGCCCGTATGGTCCTCCGACGAGGTCCGCACTCGGCGAACGCCCGCGAACTTCATGCCACTGTTTTCGCCCATGTCGGTACTTGCTCAACCTTCGTCGCGTGCCCTCGGCTTGATTTCTTCGCCTGGGTCATTGGTTTTGGTAGGCCCGGCCGAAGGGCCCTCGTGGTATATACCTCCAACAGTAATCGAATTAATTTTTTTTAGAAAATGCGTTAAAACATGGCCCCTACATCCAAAACGGTACACACATCCAATGTGCTCAGACCAGATTTCTTTCAAATAAGTTTCACAGGAACCTAACAAAGACAACCCATCCATATATCATTCCTAGTCAGATCGGACAGACAGTAAGCTTCCGCAAAATGAGGGTCTTTTTGGTAAAGACCTAACTCCTAAATTTAACTTCAGAGTAAGGTCTGTAGTATAGTTGTGGAGTTGCCTAAACCTAACTCCACCTCTCTAGATCATTTTGTGATAGAGCTCCACCCAGCTCCACTTTCATTTTAGGTGGAGCTGAAACTGTTTCGCTGAGCTCCAGCTCCTGGAGAGGTGGAGCTGAAGCTGGCACTGTGCCAAACGTTCCTAATTAAAAGAGCAATCAAATGCACAAAACAAAGGGGTATAATTCATTTTTCCATACGGTCAAAAGTGATTTTTGCATGCGGCCAATCCCAACCGCATGCACCAAAAGGTCTGCGAAAATCAGATTTTTGCATATGGTCCGGGCAACTGCATGGAAAAATCCCATTTCCGCATGCGACCCCCTATAGCAGCCGCATGCGAAAACAAATTCGACCAAAAAAACATAAAAGTCGAAAAACCCGCTGGCGGCCGAACCATAGCCCGCCACCGTTGTCGGTGGATCCGCACGGGGCGGCGCCGCTGCTGCCCCCTGAGCCAGCCGTCCTCCGCGCCCCCGCTACCGGCCCCACCGTGCGCCATCGCCGTCGAATAAGCCGCTCCCACCACCTTCCGTTGTCACCTACGCCGGATCCGCACGGGGACGAGCCGCTGGCACTGGATCCGCATGAAGGAGAGCCCCCTGGCACCGGATCCGCGCTGGGATGGGCCACCTCCGCCGGATCCACGGTGAGGTCGCCCAGCCGCTCGCCGCCGGAACGATGGCATGGTGGCCTAGCCGCTTGCCACCCGCCGCTGGATCCAAGCCGAGGAAGCCCACCGATGGCTGTTGTGCCCGAGGAAGCCTACCACCGATCGCCATGCCTGAGGAAGCCCAATGTCGGCTGGCTAGCGTGCCCGTTGTTGCCCGCCACACTTGAGGCCGCCCGCCGTCGGCCAGCCGAGGACCCCTAGCCACCTCCTTGTCGTCGTTGGCGGCCACGGCACTAGGAATGGAGCCGCCCACTCCCGGCTACATGCCTCTTCCTCGTTGTCAGCGGTGGGATGGGGATGGCAGCGGCGGCGCTGCCTGAGTTTGCTGAGCCGCCAGCCGCCGCCCACTCGGAGGGAGAGAGATCGAAGGAGAGTGAGGGGAGAGCGAGAGGAGAGAAATAAATATCTGGAGAGGGAGAGAGATAGAGTAGACGGGTGAAAATTTCGATACCTATAGATTATGCCAATGCACTAGATTATCCCCTACATATAAAAATTACATCAAAGTATTAGATTTTTGACGGAGATCAGTACATCGCAACAATTATATCTTATAATTTGTATTGTCATATAATTACAACAATTAGTTAATTACCACGTTATATATTACAGTTTACAAAGACTCTGCATGCACTAATGGTATATATAGTAGCAATCCACTATAGTATATTTCGGTGTTTAATTTTCTTTTCCAAACCCAAACCACGCACCATGGGGATGGACCTTAATCATCAGACAACGTAACCTCCTCCAAGTGTTGCACCCTGCATCTCCGCCCCAACGGGATCGGCCGCTGGTAGAACAGCTCACTCTTGTCGCCGCCGCGGCCGCGACCGGCGATCCTCCAGTACGAGCCACGCTTCGCCGGCAGCGCCGCCGCGTCCACCATCTTCGCGGCGCGCGACCGTGCCCGCAGAGCTGATGGAACGAGCACGACGAGCCTGTTCACCTTCACCCTCACCGTCGGAGCCCGCACGACGACGGCGCCGCCACCGCCACCGAGAGACGGCGGAGGACGGCCGGCGATCACGCCGCCGTGGCCGTTCTTGGGGATGCCGGCCAGCACTATTTGCAGTTCGCTCTCCTTCGACAAGTTAATCGCCGGCGTCGCCATGTCTGCTGGTTGGGGATCGGCGGCGGCCTTGGTTTCTGGAGGATTCGTGGACGCTTCGATCTTCAAGAGGTCTTCAAGGCTAGAACGGGATTTTCTCGTTACGGTTGCATCCTCACGGCCGCCGCCGGCGATGATCTCCCCGCCGGCATTGACGACAATGAGGTTTCTCGAGGTCGCAGCACAATTCTTGGGCCGGAGGACGGCGGCCAACGGCGACCATATCGTCTTCAGGATCGCCTGCCTCTTCGACATCGCCGGAAGCTCTCGCAGCAGGCCGGCGGCGAGCCGACGACGGGGCGCCGGAGTTAGTAAGTAAGCCCACGACGAACTCACAAGCGATGTGACGCAGTGGCTAGCAGCTGGCTGTGTCACCAAGAGGCTGCCATTTATGTAATAATTAAGGGAAGGTAGTTACAGCATTTTATAGCGTTGGTGATGAGTGGAGGTGGTTGACTAACCTTGGAGCCAGCATGATCGGAGTAGATATATGTAGGTTTGAGTAAGATTTGCGAGTGAGATCTGAGCATTTGTTGGTTGAACTAACATATGTGATGCTGATAGCGATTGTTGGTTGGGGGAGGTTTCGAAATGGCAGCTTTTAGAGGTGGATGTTAGATTTAATTGGGTAATTAATCCATTTAAATCAATTAAATCAAATAAATTCCAAGGCTCATTATGCTAGGAATTCATGTGAATTCATTCTTCTATGGGATATCAATGGGATGAAGAGTTTTGAGAATTAATCCATTTGATTAAGGAATTGGTAACTTATATCAATTAGTTCTAATTGATGGATGGTTGATGGTTGTGTAGTCGAGGATGGTTCATGGCTAGTTGATGACAATTAGTTGCTCTATTCCTCTTCCTATTCCATTGGTGACTTACATCAATTACTCTTAATTGATTGTTGGTTGATGGTTGTGTAGTGGAGGATGGTTCATGGCTAGTTGATGACAATTAGTTGCTCCATTCCTCTTCCTATTCCATGACTCTTACTCTTCATCTTCCATTCCTCTTATAAAATGAGAATGGATTTGATGTCTCGCGAGAAGAAGAAGACACACTTTCATCCATTTTAAAAAGCTGTTGCTGCTACGGTAATCCCATCCCGACGAGTGTGTGCACACGCGTTGGGAGAGTAGGCCTCCGAAACCACGCGTTGCTGCGACGTTTGCACAGACGGGCGGGCGATCAGGTTTTTGGGGAGCGCAAGGCGCGACTACTCACTGTTCGTCAACATCTACTTCATCTTCACCAACATGTCGAACACTGGAGACAAGGAGAAGGAGACTCCCGTCAACACCAACGGAGGCAATACTGCCTCAAACTCCAGCGGAGGACCATTCTTGGGGTATAACCTTATTACATTATTTCAATTAGAAGTTTTACTGTTAATGTTCATCGCAATGTCAACATTGTGTCATTATGTGATTGTTGATGCTTATTCAACGTTAAGCATGCTCATGTTGATTACATTCACCACTATCACTGGATCAAATCCTATTGTAAATATCATGATTATTATCTTGTTATTTTGGATTAAAATATGCCGAATTATGACCAACTTTCCAACAATCCAAAAACCTGATAGGTCATTTTCGGTAGTTGGCTTTGCTGCTGCACTGAAACCACATGCTTTTGATGGTTCAAACTATAAGAGATGGAAAGCACGTGCACTATTGTGGTTGACAGCGATGCAGTGCTTCTATGTTTCACGGGGCAAACGAAGTGAACCACCTCTTTCTCCTGAGGAAGAGGCTAAGTTCGAGGCTTCGGATTGCCTGTTCCGTGGAGCATTGATCAGTGTACTCGCTGACAACATAGTGGACGTGTACATGCACATGCCTTCTGGGAAGGACATGTGGGATGCACTTGAGGCCAAGTTCGGAGTTTCTGATGCCGGCAGTGAGCTGTATGTTATGGAGCAGTTCTATGACTACAAGATGGTCGATGACCGTTCTGTAGTTGAACAAGCTCATGAGATTCAGATGCTGGCTAAGGAACTTGAGAACAACAACTGTGAGTTGCCGGACAAGTTTGTGGCAGGTGGCATTATTGCCAAACTACCACCTTCTTGGTCGGACTTTGCCACTTCTCTAAAGCACAAGAGACAAGAGTTCAGTGTTCCTGATCTCATTGGCTCTTTGGGTGTTGAGGAGAAGGCGAGGGCAAAGGACGTCCGGGGCAAAAAGGTTGAGGGAGGTTCTAGTGCCAATATGGTACAGAAGAAGAACCCTCATGCATCCCACAACAACAAGAAAGTCAAGCCTGATGTCAAACCCAAGGCTGCAACCAATTTTAAGAAGAAAAGCAAGGGAAAGGCAAAGGGAGACTGCTTTGTGTGTGGCAAGTCTGGGCATTGGGCCAAGGACTGTCCTGAGCGCAAAGACAGGAAGTCTGCCAACATGATCATTAGCGAGGGCGGAGGAACATCGGGGTACGGTAAAATATTACCTACAGTTCTCTCTGTTTTTCATTCACCTGATTGGTGGGTGGACACTGGTGCTAATATTCATGTATGTGCTGACATTTCTCTATTTTCTTCTTATCAGGTCGGGAGAGGTTCCTCCTTGTTGATGGGAAACGGGTCGCTTGCGGCTGTTCATGGTGTTGGTACGGTCGATCTGAAGTTTACTTCGGGAAAGACCGTGCAGCTGAAGAACGTGCAGCATGTCCCTTCAATAAAGAAGAATCTAGTTAGCGGCTCTCTATTGTGTAGAGAAGGTTTTAGACTTGTGTTTGAGTCCAATAAATGTGTCGTATCTAAATATGGGACTTTTGTTGGAAAAGGTTATGACAGCGGAGGCTTGTTCCGCTTTTCTTTGAATGACATGTGTAATAATCATAATGCTGTGAACCATATTAGCGAGAATGATGAGTCTAATGTGTGGCATTCGCGACTCTGTCATGTGAATTTCGGTTGTATGACGCGCTTAGCTAACATGAGTTTAATTCCAAAATTCACTTTGGTAAAAGGTTCCAAGTGCCATACTTGTGTTCAATCGAAACAACCTCGCAAGCCTCACAAGGCATCTGAGGCGAGGAATTTGGCACCTCTAGAACTTGTTCATTCCGATTTGTGCGAAATGAACGGCGTGTTGACTAAAGGGGGAAAGAAATATTTCATGACACTGATAGATGATTGCACTAGATTTTGCTATGTGTATCTATTGAAAACAAAGGATGAGGCATTGCATTTCTTTAAAATCTATAAAGCTGAGGTAGAAAACCAACTTGAAAGGAAAATCAAACGGTTGAGGTCTGATAGAGGTGGGGAGTATTTTTCCAATGAGTTTGCATCCTTTTGCGAAGAGTTTGGAATTATTCATGAGATGACGCCTCCCTATTCACCCCAATCAAATGGGGTGGCCGAAAGAAAGAACCGTACTCTAACTGAGATGGTGAATGCCATGTTAGACACTGCGGGGCTTTCCAAGGAATGGTGGGGTGAGGCAGTTTTGACTGCGTGTCATGTCCTGAATAAAATTCCAATGAAGCATAAGGAAGTAACACCATTCGAGGAATGGGAAAGGAAGAAATTAAATCTCTCATATCTACGAACATGGGGCTGTTTGGCCAAGGTAAATGTACCTATAGCCAAAAAGCGGAAACTTGGACCAAAAACTGTTGATTGTGTGTTTCTTGGTTATGCTATCCACAGTGTGGGTTATAGATTCTTAATAGTAAACTCTGGAGTACCCGACATGCATGTTGGTACAATTCTTGAGTCCAGAGATGCTACATTCTTTGAGAATGAATTTCCTATGAAATATACACCTAGCACTTCTAGTAAAGAAACTGTCATGCCCCATGAGCACTTTGCACCGATAGAACACAATGATCAAACGCCTGAGGAAAATCCTGAGGAGGACAACATTGTAGATACTCGCAAGAGTAAGAGACAAAGGGTTGCAAAATCCTTTGGAGATGACTACATTGTATACCTCGTGGATGACACCCCAAGAACCATAGAAGAGGTATATTCATCTCCTGACGCTGACTACTGGAAGGAAGCAGTACGCAGTGAAATGGACTCGATTATGTCTAATGGTACTTGGGAAGTCGTTGAGCGTCCATATGGGTGCAAGCCCGTAGGATGCAAATGGGTTTTCAAGAAAAAGCTTAGGCCTGATGGTACAATCGAAAAGTACAAGGCAAGGCTTGTGGCCAAGGGTTATACCTAAAAGGAAGGCGAGGACTTCTTCGACACATACTCACCAGTTGCTCGCTTGACCACGATTCGAGTACTACTTGCTCTGGCAGCCTCTCATGGTCTTCTCGTCCATCAGATGGACGTTAAGACAGCTTTCCTAAACGGAGAGCTGGAGGAGGAGATCTATATGGATCAACCAGACGGGTATGTACTAGAAGGTCAGGAGGGAATGGTGTGTAAACTATTGAAATCCTTGTATGGCCTCAAGCAAGCACCTAAGCAATGGCATGAGAAGTTTGACACCACGCTTACATCTGCAGGCTTTGTTGTGAACGAAGCTGACAAATGTGTATACTATCGCTATGGTGGGGGAGAAGGGGTGATCTTGTGCTTATATGTCGATGACATACTGATCTTTGGGACCAGCCTTAATCTGATTGAGGAGGTCAAAGACTATCTGTCCAAGAGTTTTGAAATGAAGGATTTGGGAGAGGCTGATGTTATTCTTAACATCAAACTACAAAGAGGAGATGAGGGTGGGATTACACTTGTGCAATCCCACTATGTGGACAAGGTTTTGAGTCGCTTTGGATATAGTGACTGCAAGCCAGCTCCTATTCCTTATGATCCCAGCGTGCTATTAAGGAAAAACCGAAGAATAGCAAGGGATCAGCTGAGATACTCTCAAATCATTGGTTCATTGATGTACTTGGCTAGCGCAACGAGGCCTGACATCTCATTTGCTGTAAGCAAGCTGAGCCGGTTTGTCTCAAATCCGGGAGATGATCATTGGCAGGCTCTGGAAAGAGTAATGCGCTATCTAAAGGGTACTATGAGCTATGGAATTCACTATACCGGGTATCCAAAAGTACTAGAAGGGTATAGTGACTCAAACTGGATATCTGATGCTGATGAGATAAAAGCCACAAGTGGATATGTGTTCACACTTGGAGGTGGCGCTGTTTCCTGGAAGTCTTGCAAGCAGACCATCTTAACGAGGTCAACAATGGAAGCAGAACTTACAACACTAGATAATGCGACAGTTGAGGCCGAGTGGCTTCGTGAACTCCTGATGGATTTGCCGGTGGTTGAAAAACCAGTGCCAGCTATCCTAATGAACTGCGATAATTAAACAGTGATTATTAAAGTGAACAGTTCAAAGGACAACATGAAGTCATCTAGACACATCAAGAGAAGACTGAAATCTGTCAGAAAGCAGAAAAACTCCGGAGTGATAGCATTG